CCATGGCAGGCTTCTTGCTAACTGTTCTTATATCTTATATTAACCCATTTCTATTAATCTATAAGTTGCCACATGGCTCGTGGCTTACCGGTATCTTAACATCTTCTCATGGCGGCAGCTGGCAACATCTCTCTGACTCAGCCTTCCTCTTCCCAGAATTCTCTTCTTTGCTTGTCCTGCCGATACTTCCTGCCTGGCTACTGGCCAATCAGCATTTTATTTATACAGAGCGACATCCACAGCACACTAGTGTGAGATTTCTCCAACTTCTTTATGTGGGCATTTAGTGCTATTAATTTTCCTTTTAGCACTGCTTTCATAGTATCCATAAGTTTGGGTATGCTGTACATTCATTTTCATTGAATTCTAGGAAATCTTTAATTTATTTGTTTATTTCTCTCTTGACCCATTGATGATTCAATTGGGCATTATTCAGTTTCCATGAGATTGTAGGCTTTCTGTAATTATTGTTTTTGTTGAAATCTAACTTTAAGCCATGGTGGTCCAATAAGATACAGGAGGTTATTCCAATTTTTTTTTATCTGTTGAGATTTGTTTTGTGACCAAACACATGGTCAATTTTGGAGAAGGTTCCATGGGGTGCTGAGAAGAAGGCATATACTTTTTTGTTAGGGTGGAATATTCTATTAAATGCATTTGAGTCACAATATCTGTTAGTTCCCTCATTTTTCTGTTAAGTTTCTGTGTGGTAGACCTGTCCATTGGTGAGTGTGGGGTGTTGAAGTCTCCCACTACAAGTGTATGGTGTTTGATGTGTGATTTAAGCTTTAGTAATGTTTCTTTTACAAATGTAGGTGCCATTGTATTTGGGGCGTAAATATTCAGAATTGAGACTTCATCTTGTCAGATTTTCTCTGTCATAAATATGTCATGTCCTTCCCGATCTCTATCGATTGATTTTAGTTTGAAGTCTATTTTATTAGATATTAGGATAGCTACACCAGATTGCTTCTTAAATCCATTTGATTGGAAAATCTTTTCCCAGCCTTTTATTCTGAGGTAGTGTCTGTCTTTGAAGTTGAGGTCTGTTTCTTGCATGCAGCAAATGGATGGATTTTGTTTTTGTGTCTTTTTATAGGTGAATTGAGACCATTGGTATTAATGGATATTAATGACCAGTGATTGTTAATTCCTGTTATTTTTTGGTGGTAGTATTGTATGTTTCCCTTCTTTGGTATTTGTTGGTGTGGGATTATCTATTGCCTGTGTTTTCATGGGTGTATCTAACTTCCTTAGGTTGGATTTTTTCTTCAAATGCTTTATGTAGGGCTGGATTTGTGGAGAGATGTTGTTTAAATCTGCTTTTATTATGGGATATTTTGTTTACTCCGTTCATGTTGATTGAGAGTTTTGACATGTATAATAATCTGGGTTGGCATCTGTGGTCTCTTAGTGCGGCGCGCTCCTCTCGACCTGCAAGGAAGAACGACCGCCACACAAAGATTCTTCCCGATCACACTTTATTGGAGAGCGTTTGGTTAATGGAGTGCTGGAAGCGAGGGGAGGGGGCAGTGAAAGCGGCTGCTTTTTATAGGGAAAGAGGTGCGAATCGCTGGCTGAACTTAGCCTGCGGCCACCAGGCAAGACAGGATTGGTGAGGGGCCAATATAACTTGTGCATATGCAAAGCAGAGGCGTGTATTTTGTCGAAAGCATTGTCTTAGGAGTAATAAATCTTCAGAATGCAGAGAAGTCAGCGCCATCTTATAATGGCGATTGTCCCGGCTCCCTGCAGTTCCCCTTTTTT